CCGTTTTTTTTCTCTCTCACTACCATTGCATTTACCCAATCGGTTGCCTCTTTAGCTTTTATAATTATTCCTTGGGTTTCTAATTTATCTAAATTATCTTTAACTTTTTCATTCAGAGCCAAAGGCACTTTCCTACATCTACTTATATGAGGAATTGCATCACTTTGTATACGTATAGTGCAAGGTTTCCCAAAACACCCCAGTCCTTTGAAAACAGCTGAATATTCAGATATTATTAATTTTGCAGATGTTATATCTTCTTTGACGTTGACATTTTGACAATCATCAATATTATATATTCTTTTGATCAAATTCAAATCTACACATGCTTTCAAGCCTAAGATTGTTTCATATCTTTCTTTAAGAATATAAAAATCAAAATCTTTCGTTAAACTTTTGTAGTTTGCAGTCAATTTACAGACTCCTAGAAGATTCAACCTATTTTTGTTATATACTAATAGTGATTTTTCTGTATTTCTAATATCAGGCTTCCTGTCTAATTTATTATAAATATGGAAAGGTAATGAACTTGATTTTAGTATCATTTATGAAAATTTCTTCTGTCCATTCTTTAGAATTATCATGTGAAACATTACATATTTTATATATGTTCTGGTTCACCTCTACTATAGAGCCTATCTCTAGAAAATCATTTTCATGATTTCTACTATCATTATTAGTTTCATCATCAGTCAAATCCTCACATCCTACCTGATTCACCTTGTTTACTTTGCAACATGAAGAAAAATGATTCATTTTTTGACATTTTTTACATATCTTTCCCCAGGCAGGACATTTTCCATAGCTATGTGAAGTATGACAACGATAACATAGTTTCTGTTGAATCCCATCTCTTGTAGATCGGCCTCCATTTCTTATCAAATTTTCATCCCCTGTATACATTTTTCTCCTCTCTCCTTGAATTTTCTTATAACTGCTGGCAAAATTCATTCTATCCACTCCTAAATTGTTTGAAGTTCCTGCAGATATAATTCTCACTTGTTTTCTTGATTCTTCATCAGCTCTGCATATATCTAGAGATTTCGGCAGTCAAATTCCTTACTCCTAACAGCTTTTCTCTGAGATTATCTGATGAGATTACACATATCATTCTATCACGTATGAGTGAATCATGTAAGTCACCAAATCCACAATCAGCAGCTTTCTGTTTCAAGAGAGTAACATATTGGTCCATTGACTGATTCTCATTCTGATTGCACGTGAAGAAAAGGAACCGTAGATATGTTTCATTTTTATATGGTTCAAAATATTCAGACAGCTTTTTCAATATGACTCTGACAGTCAATTGATCATTCCTTTCTGTGAATGTGAGTGTGTTGTACACATCTAATCCATAATCACCAAGAATGTGGAGGAATGTAGCTCTTTGTTTTGCTACCAGAGCTTTATCCATTTCTGAGGCAATCCAAAATAATTCCACTTTCTGTTTCCATTTCGTCCACGCTGAAGCTGGATCTGTCCCGGGTATGAATTCTTTTGGTGCTTGAAGATGTGCCATTTTCTCTCTAATTTACGTTGGGTTCTATACTCGTCTAGCTGCCACCATGTTATATGTTCAGAATGTATGTTATTTATTAACTTTAATTAATGAACATATAGAGAGTTGTAATGTTATATTTTATAAAATTACGACAGTACTTGATTGACAATTCAATCAATAAATATCACCTTAGTATTATCATAATAGTATTATGTAACAATATTGTTACAGAATCATGAGGGACATGTTTCGGTCTTATAAGAGACGATGTTCAGCCTAATTGAAAGGTCTACAATACAAAAACAAATGATATTGAAGTGAAAGAATTACCTATTTTGTGCTAGACTTTTTTTTATCGCTTGGAGCGTACGAAAGGAAATCACTATAATTTTCAAAGAACATCGTGCGTTCCTAGGGAGGATAGGGACAAGAGGTAGGTGTTGGATTTTTTTTGAACTTCTGGAGATTATATGTTGTTGGGAATACTTCCTCAGGCAATGAATTCCAGAGCCTAGTCGTTCTATGGATGAAGGAGTTTAATTTATTTGAACAATCTATATACTGAGATGTTGGGAGTTTGCAAGCCAGTTAAATTATTTAACGATAACCAGAGTGCACAGAAAATTGCTTCAAAACCAGTTACACACAGAAGAACGAAACATATTGACATACGGTTTCATTTTATCAGAGAAAAAATCGAGCAAGAGCAAATCTCGTTGGAATATTTGCATACATTTGAGATGGTAGCGGATATTTGTACTAAACCTCTTCCCAAACCAAAACATGAATTTTGTGTCAGAGGTTTAGGTCTTTCATTATGTGGGAGTGTTGAAATATGTAATGCAATAGTTGCTTGATTTCAATGAGTTTATTCTGTTATATGTTAATTACTCTATGTATGAAACAATTTAGTTAGTTGTCATAATAAAATTTGATAGCGTCATTGTATTTTCTTCAATCAAACAGAATATATTAGTTTTTACCTCCATTGACTAAATTCTAACAGTTATGACGTCCGCGACAAATTCTTCACACAGAACACCCTATATTTCATTAAATTTTTCGGATCTCTATGAGATGCTGGATTCAAAATTATATCACACATATAGGGTTTGTAATACAACGCCTCTGTTAAATTCAGTGCTCTCGTGAAATGGGGTCACCATTGAAAAAATAAAAGATGTCATGATTTCTTCCACATGAATCATTCTGTATCAATTGAATATGAAAGAAATGAAAATAAGATTATGTGGCTTCAAGCGCTATTTCATAAAATTATATTCCTTTAATTTTGAATTTATCGACTACTTTACAAGAGCACTCAATTTAACAGTATGTGTAATATATCTTTGAATCCAGAATTCTATGGAGATCACAAAAATTTGTTAGTTTATTGGGTATTTCTTTTGAAAAAATTATCGCGGACCTTATAACTCAAACGTGTATTTCCCTGTATATTCAATTTTTCCTCATAAATGTGGGAAATTGAAAATAAAAATCGACCTGTTTCAGGAGATTTTTCATGAATGAATAGTTTGACTATAAATGAATTTTTCACCACTTTACCAGAGCACTCAATTTAAAGGACACAGGACACACTATATACACAAACCTCATGTGTAAAATATTTCTGAATTCAGGTTTTCATGGAGATTTCAAAAATTGAATAATATATAATAAGTTGTTCCCTTTGAAAAATTGCCGCGGACGTCTTAACTCACTCTGTATATCTGATTTTTACTCATAAATGTGAGAAATTTTAACTAAAAATCGACCTGTTTCAGAAGGTTTCTCAAAGATGGATGGTTTGGCTGAAACTGAATTTTATTCAGTACTTTACCAAAGCACTGCATGTGAATTCATACAAAACCAAGAACAAAACTAATATCAATAAACCAAACATATCAGATGATTATGTTGATCAATAATGTAAAATTCATGACTAATGCAAGGTTATAATAATATTCAGGAACAGCAAAATAATGAATCATGTTTTTTTATGATAATTTAAAATCTGTTAAACATGTATCAAAATACTTATTTTAGCCATGGGTAGAAGGTCGGTATAATAAATGGAATGAAGATGTATAATCACCTACCTTATTCCTATCCAATTTGAACTTGAATTTGAAGAAAATTCCAAAACCGCTAACATTCGGGGTGGAATAGTCTCAGCTGCAGTTAGGTAGAATCAGGGGAATATTCATCTTATGAATTGAAATCATTATGACAGAAATATATTTGTAATTTATATTTATTGCAGAATTTGTTCTTGATATGTTTATATTTGTAGTACCCATATCACTGTTCAGTATACTTTATATGATATGATGTTTTGTTATATTGACAATCTGCTTGCAAGCTGCCTTTGTTTTTCTGACAATAAAGAATATGATTTGGATTCTGATATTGGGATTGGAATTTGGAAGATTTTGCAAATGCTCAATGAGTGTGATGGAAAAACTTGTTCCTGGCAGCACAACCCAACCTCTGCTTCCACACTCATTGATCATATTGATATAAAATCAACACTTACCTCAAAAATTGTGGGTATGGATCCTTTGTTAAGCAACCTTTTACCATTTTTTGTCACCTGGAAACATTCCTTTTCGAAATGGTTGCTACAGACACCAGAATAGTCCCCATTTTCATAACGTTCAACACCTGAATTGAATGAGAGGTAGAATAGTAGTATAGATCAGTAACTTTTGATCAGGGCTTTGATTACCTTACCTGTAACTCTCAATATTGAATGTAGTCACTTTTGTCGCAAAGAAAAATCACTGAATAGAGACGGTTTCACATTTCTGTTGGTACGGCACAAATAGGAAGAGACATAGTTTATAAAACTCAGAACGAAACAGAAACAAAGAAGCAGATCACGTACTTAAATGGAAAAATAACGAAGTACAAACTAATCGAACGAAAATACAAAACTACTGAAATACTAGGAACACAACACAAGTCTATAAACGAAATGAATGTTAAAACACAATAAGAACTAAAAAGGAACGATTTTAAGCAAAAACAGTAAAAACACGATACACGATACGATGTCACAAAAACAGTTAAAAACTAGTAGTAAAAAGTAAAAACACGATACGAGATACAATGGCACGACAGCTCTTGACACTGACAGTGACAACTTACACTCAACTGAGCTATAGGGAAGACCAGTAGTTACAGCTCACTAGATTTTTTTCTCCATATTAAGCAGACAATAGGTGACACAATGAGGTACAACTTTTTGTTCAATCCAATGCTTTCTGACGGACGAATATCTAAGAATTGAGAGATAACTCATTGCCGTTTTTTAGCCGGATTGTTGATTTTCAAAACAAATGTACATAATAATGAAAATAAATCAGAGTTAATGGGGAAGAATATTTCCAAATGGGGTATAGGACTGCAACTCGAAAATATTTTTAGAAAAGAAAGTTTTGTAACATTAACCTTCAAATAGGATAGTGATAGAATAGTGAAATATTTCAATACTTACCAAATTGATTGCATCAAATATTTGTACTTCTCCAATTGTCGATGAACCAGGATAAGCTAGATAACAATTGTCACTATTTATACTAAGGGCGCAAAGCCCTTGAGGGTTAGGGGGGGTGTCACGTATAGTATGAAGTACTTTCATATCTCTTATATTGTGAATATATAGGCTTTCTTCTAGACATACTACCAGTCGAGCCCTGAAAAAATATTGCATTAGAATTATGGAACAATAATCAGTAGGAGGATTACCTATTCAATTTAACAGCCAAGATAGTATTAGAATATGAGTAGTTGCATATTTCTGTTCCTTTTTTAAAATGGCATACTTTTAGTTTTCGTGGAGCCGTCAGAGACACAACTGCAACAAGACTACTACTGAAGAGCCTTTCAACCAAACAAGAATCTTCAGTTCCATTGCTGTAAATTTGTTCTAGTGTCTCGACACTACTTAAGGAGTAAAGTCGGTAGCCTGATTTACTTCCAACTGCCAAAGATCTATAACAAAATATACAATTCACAGTGCGGAATGGTAGTACCTGGTTTTTACGAGAATTTTTATGATCGCCTGCAAGAGCTGTAACTTACGAATCATTAAAGGTCGAATTCTCAAATTTTATGGCTAGAAAATACAGTGTTATAGTGCCAAAACCTTACGGCAGATTCCGCACAACAAAATATGAAAAAAAGTTCACATGAACATGGATCCGAAATTGCTTGTTTCTGAGATACAGGGTGGTGAGTTAAAAAAAAGAATTGTTTTTTATTCATAGCTCAAACATGCTTCAGCCGATTTCAATTACATTTTCACAGTTTATTCAAACAATTATCAGACGTATACTCCACCAATTAGATTTCATCCAGAATTTCTAGGGGCGTACCCAGCGAGCAAGTCGGTTGTTTTTTGCCATGTCGGCTTCCATTTGAACCGGAAATTATAGAATTGATGATTTGTTTGTCAAAAATTGACATTCTCATGCACAGGATGATCTAAAAGTCAATGCCATTATTTAGAGGGTTGATAGGCCAACTCACGACTGACCAGAATATCGATGAGACCTTATTGGTACAAAATTGTTAGGTATCAAGATATTGGCACATTTTGGAAAAATCGTTACCTTAGATCAGTTCTTGGAGTGTCACTTATAGAAAATTACAAATTTCGATGCTCTATTCTACGCAATCTCAAATAGCTGTTACGATTATTTTTATTCATAGAAACAAACGCGTATTCAGTTATTAAATTGTGGTGTATAGTTGACAACGCGTCGGAAATATTGGGGCCATCGCCCAGTATAGTAATTTCGTTCATCAGAGAACGGAGTGAAAAAGGGTACTCGGATGAGGACAAAAAAAAGAACTTGGTATCGATACGGCGAGTAAAAAGATATCGGTACGAATCATACGAATCCGATAGAAATCGTTGTGCTTTTTCGTGAGCGAGAAACATTCAGTCGAGGTGGATAACTAATGTGTGTGTGATATTTTGGAAAATTTCGTTTGAACGGATGTAACCACCACATTCAGTTAATATCAGGAATGGTCGTATGGAATTATCGATTTATGGTTGTTTGGGCCCAGATTGGTGACCGTTTTTGGAGAAGTTGTTAGATTAGTGCTACACTATTGTTTTGGTGAACGTCTCTGTTGCTAGGGTACGCGGCAAAAGAGATGAGCCATGTTAGGGGATAGATACTTTCTCAGATAAATAAATACACACGATTCCACTCTCGTATCATTCAATTGATCGTAATATTTTAGGCGTTTTAGTGGTGGAAGGATAGAACGATTAATGGATGTTGGTCTAGTGGGCCGGTTGCTGTCATCACTTGCCATACCGGCCAGAGAAATAAGACTGTTTTTCGTCTCTAAAGCCAAGGAGAGATCGACCTAGGTTAGGCGACCAGGGCTAATGAGTAGTGTTTCCTGGGAGGCCTGAGGAAGCTAATGTGATTGTCCGAGAGAAGGAAAAAGGACGGACGATAACTACCACATAGTGGAAATTTTATTTTGTTTCGACTGGGAGTTTACGCGGGTTATGTATCTATCTGACCAATATTGATGAACGTTGTGTACTATCGCTATCAATGTGCCTAGTAGTATAGTTTTAGCCGAGGAGGTTGTGGGACAGGGCTTTTTGTTATATCGCACGACACTCCCTGGCCCAAAATTTCAAGCTCTTGCAAGGGTTTTCCCCATTTCTAAACGATCACCCTCTGATATCTCCATATTAAATTTATCACCTGTAACTTACCCCCCCCCCCTATGATTCATAATAAATTCAACAAGTATTTCATACTTGAATTTCCTTTTTGTTTTTGTTGATCATTCTTGTTGACACTAAAATTTAATGATTAGGCCAAAGAATAATCTAGTATAATACCTGTATAAACTTGAACCTATACAGTGTGTCCATTTAGTGCGTAATTCTTCGATATCTCGAAATCAATTATCACAAGAGAAAAACTTTGGAGAAAAAACTTCTTCAGTCACCAGAGTTGCTCATTTCGAAAATATTTCCAACGATACTGGGTGTTTCATAAAAGCGGGGCAACTCGAAGACGAGTTTTTTCAAATGGAACACCCAGTATTGTTCATTCGAAATTTATTCCGCTCAAGTTCAGCTCTACATCGCTGTAAAAAAAATTGAATTTAGTTGCGGCGTTGCCAAGTTATAATTGATAAACACATTTTTACTACTATTGAAGGGTCATGTTCAATTGGGTATGGTATATTTATTTATTGAAATTTCGAAAATATTTTTGGCATACAGTAGTAGCAAGGTCTCACGTTTACCAATCCAGTGATCTTGCGAGATAATCCTCTACAGGGTGCTAAAATTTACATTCTGAATATTGCAAGATTCAGACGACGATCATAAGAAATTTTCAAATGTAACACCCTGTATTTTTCATCACCGATTTATTTCGACATCATTCGCCTTTTCATCGCAGAAGAAGAAATCAAAATCGGTTGCGGCGTTTTCAAGTTATGAGTAATTTCCTTATTTTTACTACTATATTTCGGGGTAATTTGTTCGTCCTGATGGTTCCTTAATTTGATTTGAGTGTGGGAATATTGCTTGCCACATGACATTCGAGGTTCTACATAGATCATTCAGGTATTTTCGTGATATGTGCATCGTCCAAATTTGAAATATTCCGTAATCTTGCTACTTATGATTCAAATAATATGTGAAACAAACAAACATGCCAAAAGCAACGCCTGTCTTTGAAATAACTTCTACAATACAAACAATGAAGATGCGGATTGCGAAAATTAGTAAATTTTTTTGAAATTTGGGCCATTTTTATTGTCGTTATTCCCACAATCCAAATCTACATTTACCTTGAAGAAGGTAAACCTAATGATACAAACAATATGTCTTTACTACGCGCCTTTTGAAAGGAAATTCAGCAAAATGTCGAATCAATCCAAGATATATTTGATTGTAGCGATGTTTGACAGGTCATTACACAATAATTTCGAACAAAATTCAAACTTGGAGAGCCTGTAAATGTTCCTTTTGTAAAAAAATATATGAATGGTCAATGAACAAATTTGATTATACCGTAGCAACGCAATATTTCCACAATTCAAATAAATGAAAGAACTATGACGTACAAATTACCCCGAAATAGTAGTAAAAATAAGGAAATCAACCATAACTTGACAACGCCGCAACCGATTTAGATTTGTTTTCTAGCGATAAAAAGGCGAAAGATGTCGAAATGAATTTTTGAATAAAAATACAGGGTGTTCCATTTGAAAAATTCTGATGAATGTCATCTGAATCTTGCAAAATTCTAAATGCAAAATTGAGCACCCTAATGAAGAACATGTCGCAAAATTACTGGATTAGTATACGTTAGACCTTGCTCCTACCGTATGCCAGAAATATTTTCAAAATCTGAATAAAAGAATATACCATGCCCAATTCAACATGACTCTTCAATAATGGTAAAAATAGATTTATCAATTATAACTTGGCAACGCCGCAACCGATTTCAATTTTTTTCACAGCGATGTGAAGGTGAACCTCGACGGAATTAATTCCGAATGAACAATACTGGGTGTTCCATTTAAAAAAACTCTTCTTCGAGTTGCCCTGCTTTTATAAAACACCCAGTAATGTTGAAAATAATTTTGAAATGAGCAACTTTAGTAACTGAAAAAGTTTTTTCTCCAAAGTTTTTCTCTATAGGTTATGGCTTTCGAGATATCGAAGAATTACGCACTAAATGGACACACTGTATAGGATAGGGATCTCAAAACCATTTGGCGCCCTTTCACTACCTTTCACTTAATTGTCCGGTAGTAATATTTTTTATTGTTTCTTTTTGTTTGAACCCCGCCCCACTGAGAAAGCTTACTAGCTGAGGTACCAGTGATTACCAAAGAGGGTAATAGGAAATTGGCACCCTGGCGTAGGGCTTGATGATATAAGATTTTCTCGTATATACTTAGAAATTAGAAATAGAAATTTTGAAATTAGTGCTCTTGTGATTAGGTATTTTTGTTGTATTGTTTGTAATTAAATACGTGCCTTGAACATATTTAATCATAGGGGGTATACGTTAGTATTGGTCAGGTGAACAATTGAGATTTTTTTCTGGGATACATTTTTTTATGAACATTTTTATAAGAGGCGAGTATAGGTGGTATTTGTTATATTATCGGTTGAGCATTGCAGTTTCCAATCGGAATTAGATCACTTTCGAAGTTTTTTTTTTAGTATATCGCAAGAGTTATTCAGTATCATTATCAAAAACAGATAAAAGCATTTTTGTTGTTATGTGGAAGATGAATTTGCACCGGCTTACTAAAGACGAACTCCAGTATGAGTTATTGGTACGTGGTTTTGGCAATACAGAAGAGGAGACTAATGCGACCATGCGTAGGAAGCTAAAAGATATAATGAAAAACGAATCTTTTGGTGTTGTAGTTACTGATCCCAGCTTCACCCCAGATATAACGGAGGAGGTCAATGTTTGTAATAATAAAGTTGTCAGTTTAGAGAATTATATGGATGAGAATGAAACCATCACACCTAATAGTAACGAATCTCGCAATATAGAAACGAAGCTACAACATTTATATCCAAGGCTGAGGAGACTAGCTCCTTCGGTCGACGCCGTCTTATTGTCAACTAGTATCACTAACTGAAAGATCAGGTTAAAACACATAGAAAGCAATTTAGATGAAAACTTAATCTTCAGCGAATCTCAAGGGAGTGGGGTACCACCTCTTTCGCTGCCGCCTGTCGCAGGTTCAGTGTCAGCTCCGGGTGGTAGCCGGAACGCGATACCGGTGTATAAATTTGATGTTCGGTTCACAGGTGGAAAAGATGGCTTGAGTGTTAACGCTTTTACAGAAAGGGTTGAAGAATACCGCGTCGCTAGGGGCGTTACTGAAACCGAGTTATATAATTCAATCACGGATTTATTAACGGAGACAGCGTTAAATTGGTATCGTTCGGTCAAGCATACGGTTCGTGA